CCCCTAACCCCCTCTTGACCCCAGCCCCTGCCCCACTCGTCCTAGTCCCTCCCTCAACCCTTCCTTGCCCCCGCACCCTATCCCATGACCCCTCAGCCCCTCCCCTCCCTAGTCCCCGCCTCCTCAGCCCCACCCAAGTCCCCGCCCCCTCAGCCCCGCCCCACCCTAGTCCCCGCCCCCCCAGCCCCGCCCCACCCTAGTCCCCGCCCCCACCATTAGCCCCGCCCCTCAGCCTCATCCTACCTCCCCACCCCATTACCCTCTCAGCCCCTCCCACCCCATCACCCACCCCTCACCTCGGAGCCTCCTGCGGCGCTCCCTCTCGAGCTCCTGGTACCGGCGGTGCAGGTGGCGGAGCGGCTCGAGCGGGGTCTCGCGCGCCAGCTCGCGGAGGGAGCGCGGCAGGAGCTGGACGGGCTGCACGTGGCGGCGCGCGCACGCCTGGAGCGAGCGCGGGCTGGTGAGCACATAGCGGCTGCGCAGCTCGGCCTCCGGGCTCTGGAAATTATAGAGGTCCAGGCGAGGGCTGAGAACAGAGCAGGGGGCCCGGGACATGGCCCGGGGGATGGCGGGGGGAGGCCGCAAACTACGGCCGCCGCCGGCACAAGATCACATTGAATGAAGTGGACTGTCGGGCCGCCCTGTCAGTACCAGGTGGCACAACAATAAATAAAGTCCGATTCCAGAACTCATTAACTGGGTGAATCTCCGATTGTGTTGTTTATTACAGCATTCTCCTCCATTTTTAAACCGTTAACAGTGACGCTCCCCGCGACGCCTTCTGGTGACCATTGGAGATGGTCAAACGAAGGAGCAGAGGAACGGTCAAGAGCGGCACCGCTTCAACAGCTGCTCGACAGCGCCACTCTCGGACCGGAGGACTCTCCCAGTATTACAAACTGGACAAATACCAGCGCAGGAGAGACTAGGAAACCATTCAGCCCATCCAGGCTATTATGTGAGATAACAGGACGTCTGTCACTAAGCTATTCCTGAGACAAACGACAGATAGAAAATAAGAATTAACCTTCCAGATGCATACTCTTCATCAGACTGGGATTTATGGTTGGCAAAAATATTGCTGGACCTTGCATCCCTTGGCTTGTCCTTGTCCCCATGCTCCAATAATTAGTTGGTCAATACATCCATCCTTGTCATGCACTGCCTTCCTACACCAAACTGGAAACACACTCATTACTCAATTCGATGATGTTTGATCATGTAGTATCCCTCCCCACCAACCCCAATACCATTTTCAGTACTGTTACAAAACAGATGATGGGGTCAACACCTCTCTGATAATTAAAACCAAAACAATCACAGAAGCTCTCCTCATCTCATAATCTGTTAAAGGAAGTGTGAAAAGTGGTATAATCTGCCTCTCACCACACTCCCTCCAGTCTGTTGTAAAGGAGTGATGAAATAAAATGAACTCCTGATAGTCATTCTACAATCATCAAGTAACAATTTGTTTATCTAACTCTAACAGTTAAAAAATTAACAGAACTACTAATAAACCAAACAATTCCCCCTTAACTACTAATTATTCCCAAATAAAAACAAAATACTAATGGTATGCTGTTCCAATAGATAGAAACATATAAGATAGGAGCAGGAGAAGGCCATTCAGCCCTTTGAGTCTGCTCCACCATTCTTCACGATTATGGCTGATCGTCCAACTCAACAGCCTAGTCCTGCTTTCTCCCCATAACCTTTGATCCCATTCGCCCCAAGTGCTATATCTAGCCACCTCTTGAATACATTCAATGTTTTGGCATCAACTACTTCCTGTGGTAATGAATTCCACAGACTCACCACTCTTTGGATGAAGAAATGTCTCCTCATCTCCTTCCTAAATCGTCTACCCCAAATCCTCATACTATGACCCCTGGTTCTGGACACAGCCACTATCAGGAACATCCTCCCTGCATCTACCCTGTCCAGTCCTGTTAGAATTTTATAAGTCTCTAGGAGAACCCCCCTCATTCATCTGAACTCTAGCGAAAACAATCCCAACTTAATCAATCTCGCCTCATACATCAGACCCGCCATCCCCGGAATCAGCCTGGTAAACCTTTGCTGCACTCCCTCAAGAGCAAGAGCATCTTCCTCAGAAAAGAATACCAAAATTACACACAATATTCCAGCTGTGGTTTCACTAAGGCTCTGTATAACTGTGACAACACATCCCTGCTCCCGTACTCAAACCCTCTCGCAATGATGGCCAACGTACCATTTGCCTTCTTTACCACCTGCAGCACCTGCATGTTTACCTTCAGCAACTGATGTACAAGGACCCATGGTCCCACTGCACCTTCTTGCTTTTGCTTCCAAAGTGAATAACCTCACATTTATCCAAATTAAACTGCATCTGCCATTGATTTGCCCACTCACCCAACCTGGCAAGGTCATGCTGAAGGATCTCTGCATCCTTGTCATAGTTCACCCTCCCACCCTACTTGGCATCATGTGCAAACTTGGAGATGTTACATTCTGTTCCCTCATCCAAATCATTAATGTGTATTGTGACTAGCTGGGCTCCCAGCACCAATCCCTGTGGCACCCTGCTAGTTACTGCCTGCCAATTTGTAAAGGACCCATTAATTCCTACTCTTTATTTCCTCTCTGCCAGCTAGTTTCCTACCCATCTGAATAGACTTCCCCCAATCCTATGCACATTAATCTCTTATGTGGGACTTTGTCAAGCACTTTCTAAAAGTCCAAATATACTACATTGACTGGCTCTCCCTTGTCAAGTCTATTAGTTACATCTTCATAGAATTCCAACAGCTTTGTCATGCATGATGTCCCCTTCATTAATCCATGCTGACTCTGTCTGATCTTGCCACTGCTTTTGAAATGCTATAAAATCCTTGACAATGGATTTGTGAATTTTCCCCACTACCAATATTAGGCTCACTGGTCTATAATTCCCTGTTTTCTCTCTACCTCCCTTTTTGAATATTGGAGTGACATTAGCCACTCATCATTTTGCAGGGACTGTTCCAGAATCCAGGAAGATGACCACCAATGCATCCACTATTTCTAGAGCTACTTCCTTAAGTACTATGGGATATAGATGATCAGGCCCTGGGGATTTATCAGCCTTCAATCCCAACAATTTTCCCAGCACCATTTCTCTACTAATATTGATCTTCAGTTCTTCCCTCTCACTAAATCTTGCATCCTCCAACAATTCTGGTATCTGATTTGTGTCCTCTTTTGTGAATACAGAACCAAAGCATGAATTCAGTTCCTCAGCCATTTCTTTGCCCTCTGTAGGGGACCTACATTTGTCTTTACTCATCTCTTTCTCTTCACATACCTATAGAAACACTTAGCATCAGTCTTTATATTCCCTGCAAGCTTAGATAGAAGTCCCACTTACATAAATCAAATTAATAAAAAAAAAGCTTAATCTCTCGAAGTACAGTCAGGATAAGTCTCTGGAATGTTATTTGCCTTCTCCGCTGTTCTCCAGTCAGGAATGCCTTCCTCTGTTGAAGTCTTGTGTCAGGAATATTAGCTAAGGGTGCCATAGTACCTCATGGTTACTCTGAGACTTAGAGATTTCTGCGAGAGCCAGTGAGTTTCTCTTCAGATGGCAGTTCACCCACACACCAATTTTTAGTGCCCTCTTCTTTTATTCCCTGGATGACCTCTTAATTTCTCACAATAGGATTGGCCTTAGGTTGTCAAAACCATCAGATTTAAGTTTAATTGGGTTTTGGTATCTAGGGCCTGGTTTAAAACAATTAGCTAAATTCAAAAACCTGTTGTCTTGGTTAAAAAGGCTACTCTGCCTGCTAACAGTATAGCCTTTTCATACAATGTTTTAATTTCAAGAACTCTCTGTGCATCTGCTGCTGCCTTGCAGATTTTTTTTAATCTCCAAGCCTAATAAAAAATCATATTTTAAAGGGACCACATACTCTTCCCCCTATCATTTTACAGGCAAATTCTAATGTCCTGCCTTCCAATCCACAAATACTATACCCAATTTTGCAACACCTCCCCCCTTAAGAAAAAAATGAAGCATCATTATAAAAAGTTGGCTTCATTTTATTTTTCTCTAAATCTTAGCACCATTATTACTGGATCCATCGGTCATTAATCTAAAGTTACACATTTCACAGGAGTAAGGTAAATCGAATCACGCAACACTTGTTCATTGCTAATCAGTGCTCAATGTAACTGGAACTATGACGGTAAAGCAATTAGAATAATATATAGTAGACTTGAAGCTTTTGTAAGATTCTGGAAGTCTTCTTGTGTGTTCCAGTTGAGATTGTCTCCCTCCCAGTGTAATAAAAGCTGCTTGAAATAGCAATCAGAATATTATGTCAAGTGGAGAGAAATCAATTCTTTTGGTTTAATCTGACTTCTCTCCACAGATGCTGCCAGACCTATTGAGCTTTTTCAGCAATTTCTGTATTTGTTTCTGATTTACAACATCTGCAGTTCTTTCGGTTTTTAACTTGTGTCAAGTGTTGGTTTAAGCGTACCACAACAGTAGGAGCAACTATACCTTCTGTCTCCTGCCTCCACCCTCCACATGAACTAAGAAAGGCAGCATTGCTTTTGGAACATGTTGTGAAATACTTACAGTTCAACATGGGAGGAAGGCAGCTCTGCTATCTTTGTGCAACCTGTAAAACCTTGGAATATATTTGTGAATTGTGGAACATAGGTGATACCTTATAGATCACCCCATGATTACTTCTGCTTCACAGAGATTACAAGGATTGATTTGTAATGATGAATATCATGGTCAAGATTGTTACTGTCCAGGATTTTTAACCAACATAGGTGGTCACTGTATGAGCTATGTACGTACATTTCTGTGATTACAGATATCATTAACCTACAACATGTAAGTGCCTGATGAATGTAATTATCCCTTCAAGGGTTTCACATCACTTACAAGTGGTACATGTTCCCTCAGATAAACATAACAAATGAACTTCATTCACTCCAAATATGCTGACAACCATTTATCATTTCCATTGTGGTCTGGGTTAGGATGGAAGGCAACACAGAAACTGATTCAGAGAGTGAATTACAGGCTCAGCTTGTTGGTGACTTGCTAACTTCTTGTTGCTTTCTGCTTTGCAGTCCTTGTCCACCAGGTTTGAGCTTCCCCATGTTCCCACCTAATCCTTTCATCTAACTCTTTCTCTCCCTGTTTTACACCCTAAGCCCCAGGCTTACAGCTTAATTATGGCAAACATCATGGTGTGCAGACTCCCAGTGATGAACCCCTCCCTCTGACACTACCTCCATTTCCTCACATGCTCTACCATCTCCCCCTCTTCTATGTTGAGTTGACCCCCCGCTTCACAATTACTGTCTCCTCTCCATTCTCAGCATTCCTGTGTTTGTTTACAATCCACATGATTGAGTTCTCCAACTTCTAAAGGAGAAATAAGGTTGATTAGGGGCGAAAAAAGGGATTTACACAAGGCAAGTGGCATTGCTGATGTGTTGAATAAATGCTTTGAGGAAACTCAGTCACCAGAAGGATTTAAAATTGATTAGGAGGAGATGTTGATTAAATTGTCAGTACATAAAGTAAATGAGATACTGGAATTAGATGAGATGTATTTAAGAATATTGAAGGAAATTGGAGTGGGAAAATGCTTAGGCACTGACCATTATCTTTCAGTCTTCCCTGGATACAGGACTGGGGCTGGAAGATAACACACAGTGACCAGAAGA